CACGGGAATGGGGGTAAAGGTCAGTTCATCACATGTTGTCTCTGCCGCTTCTTCTTCCTAGGGAGAAGACTCTTCCCCTATTCCAGCATGGGGTCCCTTTTCCCTGCTCCAGTCCTCCATGAACTTCTCCAACACGAGTCCTTCCCACAGGCTACAGTTCTTCATGAGCTGCTCCAGTGTGGGGCCATCCCCCCATGGGGTGCAGTCCCTCAGGATCAGACTGCTCCAGCGTGGGTCCCCTACAGGGTCACAAATCCCGCCAGCAAACCTGCCTCGGCATAGGCTCCTCCCCCACAGGTCCACAAAGTCTTGCCAGGAACCTGATCTTGCACAGGCTTCCCATAGGGTCACAGCCTCCTTCCTTTGGGCATCTACCCACTCTGGCATGGGGTCCTCCATGGGCTACAGGTGGATATCTGCTCCATCATGGGCCTCCATGGGCTACAGGGGGACAGCCTGCCTCACCATGGTCTTCACCACAGGCTGCAGGGGAATCTCAGCTCCAGCGCCTGGAGCACCTCCTCCCCCTCCTTCACTGACCTTGGTGTCTGCAGGGCTGTTTTCTCTCACATCCTCTCACTTCTCTTCTCTCTCCGGCTACTGTGTTGCAGCAGGTTTTTTTTTCCCTTCTTAAATATGTTATCACAGAGGCACTTCCACCACCATTGCTGATTGGCTGGGCCTAGCAGCAGTGGACACAGGGAAAACTTCTAGCAGCTTCTCACAGAAGCCACCCCTGTAGCCCCTCCACTACCAAGACCTTGCTAAACAAACCCAATACAGATAGTGAAAGGGATATCATATTGTCCTGGTTTCAGCTGGCACAGTGCTGTGTTTTGGATTTAGGATGAGAAGAATGTTGATAACACACTGATGTTTTAGTTGTTGCTAAGTAGTGCTTAGACTGGTCAAGGACTTTCAGCTTCCCATGTGCCAGGTGCACAAGAAGCTGGGAGGGGGTACAGCCAGGACAGCTGACCCCAACTGGCCATAGGGGTATTCCAGACCATATGATGTCATGCTTAGTATATAAGCTGGGGGAAGAAGGGGGGGACATTCGGAGCAACGGCATTTGTCTTCCTACGTAACCATTACACATGATAGAGCCCTGCTTTCCTGGGGATGGCTGAACACCTGCCTGCCTATGGGAAGCCATGAATGAATTCCTCATTTAGCTTTGCTTGCGCAGCTTTTGCTTTCCCTATTAACCTGTCTTTATCTCAACCCATGAGTATTCTCACTTTTACTCTTCTGATTCTCTCCCCCATCCCATTGTGGGGAGAGAGAGTGAGCGAGTGGCTGTGTGGGACTTACTTGCTGGCCAAGGTTAAACCACACCACATATCCCCACCCTGTGAATACAACAGCTTCCCAAGAATCCCATTGTAATTGCAGAACAGGGCCGGAAATGCAGCTGTATTCCCCGAGCGACCTGAAGCTTTCTTTTTCAGCAGCACTGGTGTCCTGCTTCCCTCCGCAGCTGTGGGCTCACGCTATCCAGGGTTCACATTCCAGCATAAGCACAACTGCTGGCCATATGATGTAACCCTAGCTCAGAAGCTGTATTTGAGTTACTCAAGAGCCATATTACAGCCAACAGTACACAATACAATAACAGTTTCTTCACTTTTGAGGCAAGGGCATGACAATAATGTTCTCAAATATGCATAAGGATTTGTTTATAAAATAATTCTTTAATGGGTAATAAAACTCTTCTCTTTGAACACGTTTACAAATACATTATACTATCTTCATGTCAAGAAAGCACTCACAATCTGAAGAAAGA